CCCGTCTCGGCCTCCCAAAGTGCTGGGATTACAGGCTTGAGCCACCGCGCCCGGCCTAGTAGCCACATTTTTAAAAAGCTAAGATAAATTTTGTTTTTTCTTTTTTTAGAGATAGAGTCTTGCTGTTCACCCAGGCTGGAGTGCAGTGGTGTGATCACAGCTCACTGCAGCCTTGAACTCTTGGGTACAAGGGATCCTCCCACTTCAGTCTCCCAAATAGCTGAGAATACAGGCGCACCTGCCATGCGCAGCTAATTAAAACAAAATTTTTTTTTGAAGAGATGAGGGTCTCAATATGTTGTCCAGGCTGATCTCAAACTCCTAGCTTCAAGAAGTCCTCCTGCGTCATCCTCCCAGAGTGCCGGGATTACAGGCATAAGCCGCTGTGTCTGGCTTCTTTTTTAATTTTTAAATTTTTTTTTTTTTTTTTTTTTTGAGATGGAGTCTCTCTCTGTCGCCCAGGCTGGAGTGCAGTGGCGTGATCTCGGCTCACTACAAGCTGCGCCTCCTGGGTTCACGCCATTCTCCTGCCTCAACCTCCCAAGTAGCATGGACTACAGGCACCCGCCACCACGCCTGGCTAATTTTTTGTATTTTTAGTAGAGATGGAGTTTCATGGTGTTAGCCAGGATGGTCTCGATGTCCTGACCTTGTGATCTGCCTGCCTCGGCCTCCCAGAGTGCTGGGATTACAGGCGTGAGCCACCGCGCCCGGCCAATATTTTTTATCTTTCTAGAGTTGAGATCTTGCCGTGTTGCCCAGGTTGGAGTACAGTGATGATCATGATTTGCTGTGGCCTCAAACTCCTGGGCTCCAGTGATCCTGCTGCCTCAGCCTCCCAAGTTGCTGGGACCCCAGGCATGGGCCACTGCGTCTGGCCCAGGAGATAAAATTTTCATAACTTATTTAACCCAGTATAACTAGAACATTATCATTTTATCATGTAATTAAAAAATTGTTCTGGCCGGGCGTGGTGACTCATGCCTGTAATCCCAGCACTTTGGGAGGCCAAAGTGGGCGGATCGCCTGAGGTCAGGAGTTCGAGACCAGCCTGGCCAACATGGTGAAACCCCGTCTCTACTAAAACGAAAATTAGCCAGGTGTGGGCCGGCCGTGGTGGCTCACGCCTGTAATCCCTGAACTTTGGGAGGCCGAGGCGGGTGGAACACCTGAGGTCAGGAGTTCGAGACCAGCCTGGCCAACATGATGAAACCCCATCTCTACTAAAAATACAAAAAAGTAGCCAGGCGTGGTGACCGACGCCTGTAATCCCAGCAGCTACTCAGGAGGCTGAGACAGGAAAATCGCTTGAACCCAGGAAGTAGAGGTTGCTGTGAGCTGAGACTGCACCATTGAACCTGGGAGGTAGAGGTTGCAGTGAGCTGAGACCGCATCAGTACACTCCAGCCTCAGCAACAAGAGCAAAACTCCGTCTCAAAAAAAAAAAAAAAAGAAAGGGCAAGGAGCAGCCAACAACTCTGCTCAGAGAGGTGGACACTAGGCACTGGCGGCCTGACTCCCCAGTGGAGGACTTGCCCCCATGCACTGCCCTCACTGTGGCTA